TAGTGAGGGAGATAAGTGTCTCCAGCTTCAGAGATTTTTGCAATTTGTTCCAGTCATTGGCAGCAGAGAACTGGAAGGAATTGCGGCCAAAGGAGGTGTTGGCTTTGGGGATGACCAGTGAGATATACCCGCTGGAGCGCAGACTACGGGTGGGTGTTGCTATGGTGACCAATGAGCTAAGATAAGGCGGGGATTTGCCTAGCAGTGATTTATAGATGGCCTGGAGCCAGTGGGTTTGGCGACGAATATGTAGTGAGGACCAGCCAACAAGAGCGTACAGGTCACAGTGGTGGGTATTATATGGGGCTTTGGAGACAAAACGGATGGCACTGTGATAGACTACATCCAATTTGCTGAGTAGAGTGTTGGAGGCTATTTTGTAAATGACATCGACGAAGTCAAGGATCGGTAGGATAGTCAGTTTTACGAGGGCATGTTTGGCAGCATGAGTGAAGGAGGCTTTGTTGCGAAATAAGAAACCGATTCTATATTTAACTTTGGATTGGAGATTCTTAATGTGAGTCTGGAAGGAGAGTTTACAGTCTAACCAGACACCTAGATATTTGTAGTTGTCCACATACTCTAGGTCAGACCCGTCGAGAGTAGTGATTCTAGTCGGGTGGGCGGGTGCAAGCAGCGTTCGGTTGAAGAGCATGCATTTAGTTTTACTAGTGTTTAAGAGCAGTTGGAGGCTACTGAAGGAGTGTTGTATGGAATTGAAGCTCGTTTGGAGGTTTGTTAACACAGTGTCCAATGAAGGGCCAGATGTATACAAAATGGTGTCGTCTGCGTAGAGGTGGATCTGAGAGTCACCAGCAGCAAGAGCGACGTCATTGATATACACAGAGAAAAGAGTCGGCCCAAGATTTGAACCCTGTGGCACCCCCATAGAGACTGCCATAGGTCCAGACAACAGGCCCTCCGATTTGACACATTGAACTCTATCTGAGAAGTAGTTGGTGAACCAGGCGAGGCAGTCATTTGAGAAACCAAGGCTATTTAGTCTGCCAATAAGAATGCGGTGGTTGACAGAGTCGAAAGCCTTGGCCAGGTCAATGAAAACGGCTGCACAGTACTGTCTATTATCGATCGCGGTTATAATATCGTTTAGGACCTTGAGCGTGGCTGAAGTGCACCCATGACCAGCTCGGAAACCGGATTGCATAGCGGAGAAGGTACGGTGGGATTCGAAATGGTCGGTGATCTGTTTGTTGACTTGGCTTTCAAAAACTTTTGAAAGGCAGGGCAGGATGGATATGGGTCTGTAACAGTTTGGATCTAGAGTGTCACCCCCTTTGAAGAGGGGGATGACCGCGGCAGCTTTCCAATCTCTGGGGATCTCAGACGTTACGAAAGAGAGGTTGAACAGGCTAGTAATAGGGGTTGCGACAATTTCGGCGGCTAGTTTTAGAAAGAAAGGATCCAGATTGTCTAGCCCAGATGATTTGTAGGGGTCCAGATTTTGCAGCTTTTTTAGAACATCAGCTGTCTGGATTTGTGTGAAGGAGAAGCGGGGGGGGGGTTATGGGCAAGTTGCAGCGGAGGGTGCAGAGCTGGTGGCCGGGGTAGTGGTAGCCAGGTGGAAAGCATGGCCAGCCGTAGCAAAATGCTTGTTGAAATTCTCGATTATTGTAGATTTATCGGTGGTGATAGTGTTTCCTAGCCTCAGTGCAGTGGGCAGCTGGGAGAAAGTGCTCTTATTTTCCATGGACTTTACAGTGTCCCAAAACTTTTTGGAGTTAGTGCTACAGGATGCAAATTTCTGTTTGAAAAAGTTAGCCTTTGCTTTCCTAACTGCTTGTGTATATTGGTTCCTAACTTCCCTGAAAAGTTGCATATCGCAGGGGCTATTTGATGCTAATGCAGTACGCCACAGGATGTTTTTGTGCTGGTCAAGGGCAGTCAAGTCTGAGGAGAACCAGGGGCTATATCTGTTCTTAGTTCTGTATTTTTTGAATGGGGCATGTCTATTTAAGATTGAGAGGAAATTACTTTTAAAGAACAACCAGGCATCCTCTACTGACGGAATGAGATCTATATCCATCCAGGATACCTGGGCCAGGTCAATTAGGAAGGCCTGCTCGCTGAAGTGTTTTTGGGAGCGTTTGACAGTGATGAGGGGTGGTCGTTTGACCGCGGACCCGTTACGGACGCAGGCAATAAGGCAGTGATCGCTGAGATCCTGGTTGAAGACAGCGGAGGTGTATTTAGAGAGTAAGTTAGTCAGGATGATATCTATGAGGGTACCCATGTTTACGGATTTAGGGTTGTACCTGGTAGGTTCGTTGATAATTTGTGTGAGATTGAGGGCATCTAGTTTAGATTGTAGGATGGCCGGGGTGTTAAGCATATCCCAATTTAGGTCACCAAGCAGTACGAACTCTGAGGATAGATGGGGGCCAATCAATTCACATATGGTGTCCAGGGCACAGCTGGGGGCTGAGGGGGGTCTGTAGCAAGCGGCAACAGTGAGAGATTTATTTCTGGAAAGGTGGATTTTTAGAAGTAGAAGCTCAAACTGTTTGGGCACAGACCTGGATAGTATGATGGAGCTCTGCAGGCTATCTCTACAGTAGATTGCAACTCCACCCCCTTTGGCAGTTCTATCTAGACGGAAAATGTTATAGTTGGGGATGGAAATTTCAGAATTTTTGGTGGCCTTCCTAAGCCAGGATTCAGACACTGCTAGAACATCAGGGTTGGCGGAGTGTGCTAACGCAGTGAATAACTCAAACTTAGGAAGGAGGCTTCTGATATTTATGTGCAGAAAACCAATACTTTTACAGTTACAGAAGTCAACAAATGATAGCTCCTGGGGAGTAGGAGTGATACTGGGGGCTGCAGGGCCTGGGTTAACCTCTACATCACCAGAGGAACAGAGGAGGACTAGAATAAGGATACGACTAAAGGCTTTAAGAACTGGTCTTCTAGTGCGTTGGGTACATAGAATAAAGGGGGCAGTTCTCCGGGCGTTGTAGAAAAGATTCAGGGCATTATGTACAGAAAAGGATATGGAAGGATATGAGTACAGTTCAGGTAACCCTAAGCGTTGGGTAACAATGAAAGAGATAGCGTCATTGGAGGCACCAATTGAGCCGGTCTCGGCGTGTATGGGGGGTGGAACAAAGGAACTATATGAGGCAGTTTGAGAGGGACTAGGGGTTCTACAGTGAAATTGTATAATAAGAACTAACCCAAACAGCAATAGGCAAGGCATAATTGACATGGGAGAGAGGCATAAAGCAGTCACAGGTGTTATTAGAGAGAGCTAAGACACAACTGGAAATAGCGATAACGTTTGGGCTAAGACTAAACAGAATATACAGGATAGGGTACCGTGTAAAGGAACAGTCCAGCAGGCATCAGCTGTGCAGCTGAGTGATCATAAGGTCCAGTGAACAGCAATATGTGAGTCCGAGAGCAGTTCAAATTGGTGCTTCAGCACAGCTAGCAGGGAGCACAGTTGTAGTTTGCGTGTGCTAGCGGGCCGGGGCTGGCAGATGGATCTTCGTGGTCATCGCAACGGGAAACCTGTTGAAACCACATCAGACTATTTCGTCGGCAAACCAGTCGTGTTGGATCGGCGGGGCTCAGTGTCAACACTAGGAGGTCCCGTCCGGTTGACAGAGAGGTAGATAGCCGGGAGATGGGCCTGAGGCTAGCTCAAGGCTAACTGGTGCTTGCTATAGGGCAATGGTAATCAGCCAACAACAGGTTGCAGCTAGCTAGCTGGTTGTGATGATCCGGCGCTAGGGTCCAGTGATTCCGGCAGAAAGTCCAATAAGCTCTGGGTCGATAGCACGCTGGGTCGATAGCACGCTGTGCAGACTGGCCGACGAATTGTCCAGGCTAGAGCTAGAGCTGGCTGGTGGATAGTGTAGGCCACAGACAGTGGTGAAGACGCTAACGGTGACTAATAGCAGGTAGCCATTCAGATTGCAGCTACACTAGTTTCAGCTTACGGTTCTTGATGAAAGTTATAAAGAAATAATAGAATCCTTTCCACGTTGGGTGAGGCGGGTTGCAGGAAAGTATATTTAGTTAAAGAATGAAAGTAAATATTGAGAAATATATACAAAATAGACCAAAAAAAACAAGAAACGGGATATTTACACAGGACGATGAAATAAAAGCGACCGCACTGCTACGCCATCTTGGATTCTATACTTTACATCATATTCTTAGTTATCTTTCTAGCTGGCTTAACTACCTGTTTGTTATTAGGTCAGTTCCCCTTGATTCTGATATTGATATTGATATGCAGTAATGTTTTAAAAAGCATAAATTCTAATTATTTGTATTTCTCAGTTTTCAATAAAGATCAGGTGACAGGTGAGATCAGCATGAGGGTGACTTGTTACAGGTCAATAAGGAAATCCAAGAGTCCACACAGTTTGACAGTAGGATGAATATAGCAAGCACAAAGTTTTACTGTTCTGGTTGTTATAAACAAGTTTGTGGGTATTTATAAGTGTCTAAAAAATTATGGCATGCTTAGGCTACTTGGAAATTGATTAGATAGTGTAGTCAACATAGTACAGTTTAACAGTCATATTCAAAATAATTCACTGATGTGAGAATTTAGGATAGGCTCCCCAGAAACTAGTTTAAGGATTGGTTTGTTGACATTTGAAAGCACTGTTATTGGATAGAATTGTTGTTTTATCCGTTCATTATCTTCACAGATTGTGTTAAAGGACTCACTCCCTGCCATCCTAGCCCACTGCCACAGCTCCTGTGTTGTTGGTCCTACTTTGTGCAACCACACAGTTGCACTGCTCTACTAGACAGCACATTACTCTCAATTTGGGATTGGTGCGGTTCCCCCTATACATAGCTGCACCGAGAGTGAGAAGAGGTGGCACAAGCCAAGAAAAATGGTACGGCTGTGTGGATGGTTATTGAAGGCTAATATGAATAATATAAATTAGTAATGTGATTGTGATGATCTAAGTGCCCCTTGGTATTCCTAGGGTGTGAAGCCAGGCACTGTTAACAGGATGGTGGTCCTATCAGCAAGACCCAAAGAGAGGAGACTGGTTGAGGGAGTGAGGTAAAATGTTGAGCATTTATCATAATCTGAGCTAATCTTAGACAACTGCTTTACAAATAAATAAATAAATTAGATTGTGTAGCCAATATGCCTCTGTTACAAGAGCTACATGAGATTATGCCAAACCAGAAACAATCCCTAGTGGTCCCTACACTCTAGACACTTGTGTAGATCCAAAAGAGATAGGTAAAAGGAAGATGGCAACAATTCCACCCAGCCAATCAATGGGCAAGGTGGCGTTATTACCAACTTGCTTTTACCCATATCCAATCCTTTTGACTCTACACAAGTGTCAAGGGAGTAGGAACTAGGTGTTGTTTCCTGATAGGGTCTATAACTGACATACTTTTTTGTCTATCACATGATTACGGAGACAAATGTCCGGAGACATTTGAAACCCCACCTCTTTAAGGAATACCTGGGATAGGATAAAGTAATCCTTCTACCCCCCCCCCCCCCCTAAAAAATAATAATAATAAAAATAAAAAATTTGTAAAGTGGTTATCCCACTGGCTATAGGGTGAATGCACCAATTTGTAAGTCGCTCTGGATAAGAGCGTCTGCTAAATGACGTAAATGTAAATGTAAATGTAATTACCTTCTATAGAGGTGTAACCGGGGAGCTGCCTGACCTCTGTCCTACAAGTGGCAGAGGTGTACAGGGACTTTACCAATGCTACAGCCCCTTTGGTCACTACAATGGACATGTCCAGTTAGAGGATTCTGCCATTGGTGAAGTCCAGGCAGGCTGCTGCTACAACAGCTATCAACATCACTTCGCATGAAGATGCCCCCCCTCCACCACTTCTGCCACTTGATGGTTACAGCCTTAACCCATCTGTGTGCTCATTTGTCCATAGAGAGCATGAATTTATACACATGAGCTCACTGGCAACTACATTGGAAACGGCCCACAAAGTTGACAGTGCTACGAAAGAACAGAGCTTATTGCTGGAGCGGCATCACCTTCGCAAGCCACGCATAACATCCTCCTGCTTCAGAGATGTCTGTCATGTGAGGGAGCAGAGTTCTGCAGAACACCTGGCTGACAGAATCCTCAGTGGAACTCGTCAGTCTGCAGAGATGAAGAGAGGTCTGCAGATGAAGTCTGCTGCTGTGGAGGAATACTATGTTCTCCGGAATGTCAGCTATTACCCCTGTGGATTTATTATCCACCCAGATGCCCCTTGGCTTGGGGCATCACTACTTTGTAGTGTATGCCCTGGAGGACATGCTGATCCAGCGCATCCACAGAGACCGCCAAGTTTGGGAAGCAATCAACGAGAAGGCTGACCATTAATTTTTTTCCTCTTACTTGCAGAAATACCTAATGATCTCCTAGGTCAAATGTTAAAAGATTTAAAAAATATTCGCTATATCTGCGATCATTTCTAGCTTCTTTCTATGAAAGATAGCACAGTGGTTAACTGTTTTATCCCCTGAATCCAACAATGTTAGATATTACTGCACTGTCGGAGCTAGAAGCACAAGCGTTTCGCTACACCCGCAATAACATCTGCTAAACACGTGTATGTGACAAATAACATTTGATTTGACTTGATTTGATGTAGATAAAATTATCGTGACGTCAAATGTTTTGGGGAAACATGTTGATTTGTTAGTGAGAACACTGGACAAAATAGTGGAGTGCAGGCCCACATAATGGAATTTATTTTCAAGAGAGGGTCTGAATGTAGCTGTTAAACACAGGCTGTTGACTTGCAACACTGAACATACAGTGCATTCGGAAAGTATTCAGACCCCTTCACTTTTTCCACATTTTGCTACATTACAGCCTTATTCTAAAATTGATAAAATTATTTTTTCCCCTCATCAATCTACCCACAATACCCCATAATTACAAATAAAAAACAGAAATACCTTATTTACATAAGTATTCAGACCCTTTGCTATGAGACTCGAAATTGAGCTCAGGTGCATCCTGTTTCCATTGATCATCCTTGAGATGTTTCTACGATTTCATTGGGGTCCACCTGTGGTAAATTCAATTGATTGGACATTATTTGGAAGTCGCTCACCTGTCTATATAAGGTCCCACAGTTGACAGTACATGTCGAAGCAAAAACCAAGCCATGAGGTCAAAGGAATTGTCTGTAAAACTCAGAGACGGGATTGAGTCGAGGCACAGAACTGGTGAAGGGTACCAAAAAATGTCCGCAGCATTGATGGTCCCCAAGAACACAGTGGCTTCCATCATTCTTAAATGGAAGAAGTTTGGAACTGTCACGCTCTGGCTCCGGGACTGTGTAGTTTGAGCCAGGGTGTATTCATTTGGTTGTGTTGGGTATAGGGTGTGTTCATTTGGTTGTGTTTGGTTTTGGTTGTAGTGTCTTGTCTCGTCATGTGACTCCCAATCGGAGGTAACGAGTGTCAGCTGTCGGCTCGTTATCTCTGATTGGGAGCCATATTTAAACTGTCAGTGTTCACCTTAGGGTTGTGGGTTTTTGTTCCATGTTTCAGTCTGTGTACTGAGGACTTCACTATCCGTCATTGTTTATTGTTTTCTCGTTCGTGCACTTTAACTTTAATAAAGTCATGTTCGCTACAAACGCTGCGCTTTGGTCCACTCCTTCCGTAGACGGCCGTGACAGAAAAACCCACCAAAAAAGGACCAAGCAGCGTGTCCAGGAGCAAGGAGACTGGACATGGGAGGAAGCGCCGGGTAAGGAGATCGAGAGGCTGGCGATGGCCCAGGTGGGCAAATCGTGGTCCTGGGAGGACATGCTCGGGGGCAAGGGACCTTGGGGGAGGATCAAGGCCCTGGCGAGAGAGGAGCAACGGCGTCAGCAGGGCCATCGTCGGAAGGACGAGAGGCAACCCCAAAAAGTTTTTGGGGGGGGGCACATGGCTTGGGCGGCTGGGCAGCAGGAGGCTGCCACAGGGAGACGTGGAGAGAAGGCTACCAGATTACGGGAGCCATTGGCGAGTAGAGGGAGGGAAGTAGTGGAGGCACGGCGTGAGAGACTGAGGTGTGTTACCAGTCCGGTCCGGCCCGTTCCTGATCCCCGGTTAAGGCCAGTGGTGTGTGTTCCCAGTATGGACCGGCCTGTTCCTGCTCCACGTACCAGACCTACGGTGTGCGTCGCCAGCCCAGCCCGGCCTGTTCCTGCTCCACGCACTAAACCTACGGTGTGCGTCGCCAGCCCAGCCCGGCCTGTTCCTGCTCCACGTACCAGACCTACGGTGTGCGTCGCCAGCCCAGCCCGGCCTGCTCCTGCTCCACGCACTAAACCTACAGTGTGCGTCGCCAGCCCAGCCCGGCCTGTTCCTGCTCCACGCACTAAACCTACGGTGTGCGTCGCCAGCCCAGCCCGGCCTGTTCCTGCTCCACGCACTAAACCTACGGTGTGCGTCGCCAGCCCAGCCCGGCCTGTTCCTGCCACCCGCACCAAGTCTACGGTGCGCGTCGCCAGCCCGACCCGGCCTGTTCCTGCCACTCGCACCAAACCTACGGTGCGCGTCGCCAGCCCGGTCCGGCCTGTTTCTGCCACCCGCACCAAGTGTACGGTGTGCGTCGCCAGCCCGACCCGGCCTGTTCCTGCCACTCGCACCAAACCTACGGTGCGCGTCGCCAGCCCGGTCCGGCCTGTTCCTGCCACCCGCACCAAGTCTACGGTGCGCGTCGCCAGCCCGACCCGGCCTGTTCCTGCCACTCGCACCAAACCTACGGTGCGCGTCGCCAGCCCGGTCCGGCCTGTTCCTGCCACTCGCACCAAGCCAAGGGTGCGAGTCGTCAGCCTGGTCCAGCCCGTTCCTGCTACTCGCACCAAGCCAGGGGTACGAGTCGTCGGCCTAGTCCAGCCCGTTCCTGCTACTCGCACCAAGCCAAGGGTGCGAGTCGTCAGCCTGGTTCAGCTCGTCCCTGCTACTCGCACCAAGCCAAGGGTGCGAGCCGTCAGCCTGATCCAGCCCATTCCTGCTACTCGCACCAAGCCAGGGATGCGAGTCTTCAGCCTGGTGAGGCCTGTTCCGGCTCCACGCACCAGGCAAAGGGTGCGTATCGTCTGCCAGTTCCGGTCCATTCCTACCTCACGCGCCAAGCCAGGGGTGCGCGTCGGAGGTCCTGATCCAGCAAGCTGGGTCAGATCGGACCGGGGGCACTACGGGGGGAGTGAAGTGGGGTGGTGGTCAAGCCCGGAGCCGGAGCCGCCTCCGAGGAGCAACACCCACCCAGCCCTCCCCTATTTTGGGGTGTAGGCGCGGTCAGAGTCCGCGCCTTTAGGGGGGGGGTACTGTCACGCTCTGGCTCCGGGACTGTGTAGTTTGAGCCAGGGTGTATTCATTTGGTTGTGTTGGGTATAGGGTGTGTTCATTTGGTTGTGTTTGGTTTTGGTTGTAGTGTCTTGTCTCGTCATGTGACTCCCAATCGGAGGTAACGAGTGTCAGCTGTCGGCTCGTTATCTCTGATTGGGAGCCATATTTAAACTGTCAGTGTTCACCTTAGAGTTGTGGGTTTTTGTTCCATGTTTCAGTCTGTGTACTGAGGACTTCACTATCCGTCATTGTTTATTGTTTTCTCGTTCGTGCACTTTAACTTTAATAAAGTCATGTTCGCTACAAACGCTGCGCTTTGGTCCACTCCTTCCGTAGACGGCCGTGACAGGAACCACCAAGACTCTTCCTATAGCTGGTCGCACGGCCAAACTGAGCAATTGGGGGAGAAGTGCCTTGGTCAGGGAGTTGACCAAGAACCCGATGGTCACTCTGACAGTGCTCCAGAGTTCCCCTGTGGAGATGGGAGAACCTTACAGAAGGACAACCATCTCTGCAGCACTCCACCAATCAGGCATTTATGGTAGAGTGGCCAGACGGAAGCCACTCCTCAGTAAAAGGCACATGACAGCCCGCTTGGAGTTTGCCAAAAGGCACCTAAAAGACTCTCAGACCATGAGAAACAAGATTATCTGGTCTGATGAAACCAAGATTGAACTCTTTGGCTTGAACGCCAAGCGTCACATCTGGAAGAAACCTGGCACCATCCCTACGGTGAAGCATGGTGGTGGCAGCATCATGCTGTGGGGATGTTTTTTAGTGGCAGGGACTGGGAGACTAGTCAGGATCGAGGGAAATATGAACCGAGCAATGTACAGAGAGATCCTTAATGAAAACCTGCTCCAGAGCGCTCAGGACCTCAGACTGGGGCGAAGGTTCACCTTCCAACAGGACAACAACCCTAAGCCCCTAAGCACACAGCCAAGGCAACGCATGAGGGGCTTCGGGTCTCTGAATGTCCTTGAGTGACCCAGCCAGAGGCCGGACTTGAACCTGATTGAACATCTCTGGAGAGACCTGAAAATAGCTGTGCAGCGACGCTCCCCATCCAACCTGAAAGAGCTTGAGAGGATCAGCAGAGAAGAATGGGAGAAACTCCCCAAATGTGCCAAGCTTGTAGCGTCATACCCAAGAAGACTGGAGGCTGTAATCGCTGCCAAAGGTGCTTCAACAAAGTACTGAGTATATGGTCATAATACTTTCTAAATGCACTGAAGCAGACGCAAAAACAGGGCAATCAGTTACCAGTCTAATAGTACTGAAATTGACAGCATCACTAGTCCTTTGCCCATGCTTTGACCAAGGGCCCATTCTGGTAGTTGATGAGGAGGCAGGCAACTGTGTTTAGCTGGTTGATGCTCCCAGTGATGGAGAGAAGACTGACATTGTCAAACAGCTTGTGCTCGTTCACTCTGCGAATCAGTCGCTCCACATGGATCAGCCCAGCAATGGATTGTGTCTCCTTGACTTCTGCTGTTGGCATCTGTACCCTCCTTGAGAGGAAAGCCAGTCTGTAGACCTTGCAGGGCACACAGTCGTCCACAAGGAAACCTTTGTCCACGATTAAGGCCATCCCTGCTTTCAGCACAGACACAATGCCTGACTGCTTCAGGATATCCTTGTCGCTGACAGAACCTCTGTAAAGGGCTGAAACAAAGGTGCCATGACAATCATCGCCTTGAAGGTGCAGTGGGACTTCACGCTGAAGCAGGAGAAAATTTGGTGTTTTTACAACGCACCTCTGTGCAGTCTATCACCACTTGTGTGTCTGGGTATTCCTTGAATTCCTCTGTCAAGTGAGCCTTGACTGCTTCCTCGGATATCCAGATACACACTGACCCAAGAACTGTGTTGTCACGATGCAGCTCACAGTCGACTGGTGGATGTTGAATCTGTGGGCCAGATCGCTCTACTTAAGACCCAGTGAAAGATGGGTCATGAAAGGGAAAAACATGTCTATGGACTGCAGGGACTGTGACTTTTGGAAAAAGATTAAGATGCATGAATATGGAAAATTATAACTAAAACCATCAACCATCCAGAGGGCAGATAAATCATGCACCTATAACTTCCCTCCCTAACCCAGGAGGATTCATTATCATGATTGGTTTAATGGCTTAAAGTAGAATCAAGTAGCATCAAGCTTGTCAAAGTGGCATTTAGCCTTTCTGTGTTTGTCTATGGTCAGTTGTAGCTTTGATGATTAATACTACTTTAATTTACCTTTGCATTTCCTGGTAGTGTGACCTCCTCATTCCTCTTTGTAGCTGCCCTTGCTCTGGTCACACGTACCATGTTGTGGGATGCCAGTTCGATGAGCTTCCAGAAGGCCATTAGGTGGGCATACTTTGTAAACCTACACTCACCGACCAGTTTATTAGGTACACCCATCTAGTACTGGGTTGGACCCCCCTTTGCCTCCAGAACAGCCTGAATTATTTGGGGCATTCTACAAGGTGTCGGAAACGTTCCACAGGGATGTTGGTCCATGCTGACACGATGGCATCACGCAGTTGCTACAGATTGGACGGTGGTACATTCATGCTGCGAACAGCCCGTTCCATGTCATCCGAAAGACGCTCTATTGGGTTGAGGTCTGGGGACTGTGTAGGCCACTCAAGTAAACTGAAGTCACTGTCATGTTCCAGGCAATGTTTTTATTGTCCAGTGTTGGTGATCGCGTGCCCACTGGAACCGTTTCTTCTTGTTTTTAGCTGATAGGAGTGGAACCCGGTGTGGTCGTCTGCTGCAGTAGCCCATCCATGACAAGGATCGATGAGTTGTGCATTCCAAGATATCATTCTGCACACCAATTACCTGTTTGTGGCCCGCCTGTTAGCTTGCACAATTCTTGCCAATGAGCTGTTTTTGCCCACAGGAATGGCGCTGACTGGATGTTTTTTTTTTGTCACACCGTTCTTGGTAAACCATAGACACTGTGTGTGTAAAAAGCCCAGGAAGAGGGCGGCTGTTTCTGAGATACAGGATCCGGCACGCCTGTCACCGATGATCATGCCACGCTTAAAGTCATTTAGGTCACTCGTTTCGCCCATTCTAATGTTCAATCGAACAGTAACTGAATGCCTCGATGCCTGTCGGCCTGCTTTATATAACAAGCCACGGCCACCTGACTAGTGAGTCTGTAGGAGCGATCCATTTTAATAAACTCGCCGGTGAATGTGTGTCAGAAGTGGGAAATATTATGATGAATGATGTTATTGATATCTAATCCTAGGTGCTGTTCACTGCCTCCAGAGGGCAGTACTACCCAGGAGTATACAACGCCTCGATCACACCTACAGCGTCATTGCGCAAATGGTACGCAGCATCATCTGGATATGTGTACAACAAAAGTTCAACATTCACCTTCTGCTACCATTTCTGTCAAGCCGTCTACGCATACAATTTTATGCATACTGTACGTTCGATAAATCCAACGTATGCACCACACAGAACGCACTGCAACGCAATGCTGCAAGGCAAACGCAGCGTTCCATTGGAAATGAATGTACTTCTCGTGTACCAAAACGCAATGATGCTGTCGGTGTGATCGTGGCATAAGACACAAGATCCTTTAATTGCCACCAGGGCAACAAATTAACACCAGACAAATGCAGATAAATTAAGGAATGATGAGAGCAAAATTATGTTAGCCTGCAACAAAGATCAAGGCAATCCTTTTGTGCAAAAATTAAAAAGCCTTTATTAACAAAGCCTTTCTTTAGGTTGGTTTTTACTTACTTTGTTGCATGCTTATTTTTACACATTGTTTCTACTCAACCCACAACATAGTTTTGGTCTGTCTATTTAGACCTTGTTTTCAATGACCTTTTGATACCATATATTGTTAATTTTATAGAAACAAAGCAGCACTCTTTATCCTCTCTTCTCTACATTATTATTACCATTATCATAACCTACCTTGTCTAGAACCGTATGCCGGTGTCGGAGGCAGCAAATTGCTCCAAACAGAATCGCAGACGGACAGACATTTCCTCCACGTCTCCTCAGTTGCTCTACCTCCTTACGGAGATCTTCGCCTTGCTCCAGTGCCAGGTCGGCAGCTGAACAATAATCATGATACAGGTGTTGGAAGTCATTCATCCACCTTAGCCAGTTCATAAGTTGGTCGCTCTCTCCTTTGCCATACCCCAGGTCTTGGCGCTCGAACTGAGTAGTCATTCCACTGGAACAGGGTGGGGAGAGCTCTCTTCTTGAGTAGCCGACGTCCAGTGGGAGTTGAAGGCTTGATCAAGTCATCACTTTGGAAGTGGCGGCTGCAGATCTTTGTATGGGAGGTGATGTTGAATCTCTCACGGCAAATTTTCCAGTGCAGTTGTGAAAAGTGTGAAAGCTCAACACAGAGTTGAACTTGGAGGAAGCCTTGCTTGAACACATTTTTTGAGGTTAGGCTATATTGGAACAATAATATAACAAAATAAATATAAGATTTGTTTGACTACCTGACAATTGATGCTTTCCCCTGCTGGCTAGCGTGTAACTATCTATCGTATCGAAGATGATGAGAATGCACAATACCGGAAATCCGGGGCTGGCTGGAATTTTTGCGGAAATACATAGGCTAGTGGGCATGCATAAAGTGAATTATTACCAGAAATGATTTGATATTGAGATTTTAAAAAGGCTGCATTGGACCTTTAAAAATAGCTTAATGGACCAAGTCCAGGCAGTGCCTTCCTGTTTCAGTTTGTTTTCTTCTGTTAGGTGTCCCATGAACATGACCCTGGTTTCTCTCTGTGTTGCCAGTTAGCTTATATACAGGGTTAGCCATAAATAAGGGATGCTGATTCTCCTTATGTCATCATCTCAACCTCTTTATACTCAGCGTGTCATCCCACATGTCATGGGATGACACTGGGATCCTATGACATGACTGGGAGCTTAGGAAGAGGTGATTTATTTATTTGTAGAACGCCTGGATAAGCTTTTGGTAATTAAGTGTTGCAATGATGGTGTTAAAATATAATATACCTCAATGGAAGATTGAAGCACCCATTAATAAGCCATGGCTATTGAGCCTCTGCCACCACCTAGTGTATAGGTTTTGAATATATGTTAATCCATTGTGTGTGTGTGTGTTTTTGCCAACGTATGTCCGTGCCAACGTGTGTGTGTTTTACAGGCTGTACGGGCTGTGGTAGAGACATTAAGAATGGTCAGGCTCTCTTAGCTCTGGAGAGACAGTGGCACCTGGGCTGCTTCAAGTGTAAGGCCTGTCAAAAGGTCCTCACCGGGGAGTACATCAGCAAGTAAGTCTAACACAACTATTATACACACAACATGCTTACACACAAAATGGAATACACACATAGTATACTTGCAGACAAAGTAAAACCCGCTATTCTATTCTACTCTATTCTATTTTTATTCTATACACATAACATACACACATTATACTTGCAGACACAGTGAAAGATATTATTCTATGTTATCCTATTCTAATGCAGTCTATCTGTATTCTCCTATCTCTTTGCACAGGGATGGCACACCCTATTGTGAGAAGGACTACCAGATCCATTTTGGGGTCAAGTGCGAGGCGTGCCAGCAGTTTATCACAGGCAAAGTGCTGGAGGTAAACCAATCACCAATCACCTAAAATTCATCATCCCTTAATACATAGGGAGAGGAAAAATATAGTTTACTCAACTAAAGTTACTTTGAAAAAGTAGTTCACTACATCTAAACTACTTCGTAATAAATGATCATATCTAAATCTGAAATGTCATAGACTACAAATTGCAAGAACAGATAACTCTGGAGTAAGATGTTAACAGAATGTGTAATTTAGCATATTAAATACAAAAACAATGTTTCAAGTGAGAATTGGACAGGGGTGATGCTGAAAAAGAAAGGAAATTATTGTCTACTTCACCCATATTTTATTTTCTATTTGCAAAAAAAGTAGTGTGTAGTTCCAGTAGTTAGCTACACCACTACATGGCAAAAAAAAGTAATTAACTACTGAAATCACTACCTAGATTTGAATTTAGTTCAACTACCACCAAGCTACTGCAAAATGTAGTTAAATTACTAGTTGAACTACATGTAGTTCACTACTCCCCAACACTGGTTAGTTGAAATGTTACTGATAGTCTGTAGATAGTCTGTAGAGCATCTAAATAAAGTGTTACCGCATTATCACCTGTAGCCCAACTGATGCAGCATAGTGGCTATAAAGAAATAGGCTAAAGTATGCTTATTGCTGTGTAATGTCAAATGCATCTCTATCAATAAGGACTAGGGTGGGTCAATTTATTTTGTAGATTTTCTCAATTGAAATTAAGCTTTAAGTGAAATATTAGCTTTTGTCTAAAGCTGAAAAAGACAGAAAATTCTAAAGCTAATTTGACCTATGCAATAACAAGACTTTTCAGCATAAGCAGCTTGACTACTGCTAGAGTACTGTAGCTTTATTGATCTACTGTACTTCAACAACAGATGTAATGTAAACGTGCTTTTTCATGCAAGACATCATCCCATTCCACTAATTTAAACATTATGGGGAGGTTTTCCTGGACACAGATTGAGCTTAGTCCTGGACTAAAAAGCAAGATCGATGGAAAATCTCCAGGCAAAAAGTATTTATAGTCCATGACTAGGTGTAATCTATACTGAACAAAAATATAAATGCAACACTCAACATTTTCAAAGATTATACTGAGAGTTACAGTTCATATAAGGAAATCAGTCAATTGAAATAAATAAATTAGGCCTAATCTATGGATTTCAGATGACTGGGAATACAGATATGCATATGTTGGTCACAGATACATCAGAAAACCAGTCAGTATCTGGTGTGACCACCATTTGTCTCATGTAGCGAGACACATCACCTTCGCATAGAGTTAATGAGACTGTTGATTGTGGCCTGTGGAATGTTGTCCCACTCCTCTTCAATGGCTGTGCGAAGTTGCTGGATATTGGCAGGAACTGGAACATGCTGTCGTACACGTCGACCCAGAGCATCCCAAACATGCTCAATGGGTGACATGTCTTGTGAGTATGCAGGCCATTGAAGAACTGGGAAATGTTCAGTTTCCAGGAATTGTGTACAGATCCTTGTGACATGGGGCCGTGAATTATCATGCTGAAACATGAGGTGATGGCGGCGGATGAATGGCACAAACCTTGAGACATTTTTGAACAGCCCCCCATTAACATCGACGGGGCTGAAGTGGACTATCATGGTCCAAACACACCAAGACAGTAGTGAAGAGGGCACGACAACACCTTTTCCCCCTCAGGAGACAGATAAATCACTTTCCCAAAAATAAATAAGGTTAGCAAGTAGATTGATGGGCGCTTCTTTTTACTCAGGACAGCTTGCTTGTGCTGTGTGAACGTATCAATTTCTGTACTGCTCAAGTGCTCGAGAAGTTGTCACTTGCGGGAGTTTAGTTGTGCTTGAATGAACGGCGAATCATATTGCTCAAATACAAATAGCACAACCTTTCTGCATGTAGTCTTCAATTGTAGACTGTGACAGAGCAAATGTTGAACTGGAATGCAAAAATGTGCTGAGAACTGGCCTGGTTGGTGCTGCTGCTTTCTTTGAAAGTGGTGAGAAGTAATGGGCAAATGCGGTCTCGCCACACGTTTTCCGGCAGCTCTGATTTAAAGCGTCTATCTGTCATAATTCTTTTGACTTGTAAATTATTTACACACACCCATTGATTCTTGAAGAAAATAACTTATACAGTGATTTCGGAAAGTATTCAGACCCCTTGATTTTTTTCCACATTTTGTTATGTTACAGCCTTATTCTAAAATTGATTAAATTGTTTTTTCTCCTCATCAATCTACACACTTTACCCCATAATGGCAAATGAAAAACAGGTTTTTAGAATTTTTACCAAATGTATAAAAACAAAAACTGAAATGTCACATTTACATAAGTATTCAGACCCTTTACTCAGTATTTTGTTGAAGCACCTTTGGCAGCGATTACAACCTCGAGTCTTCTTGGGTATAACGATACAAGCTTGGCACACCTATATTTGGGGAGTTTCTCCCATTCTTCTCTGCAGATCATCTCCTGCTCTGTCAGGTTGGATGGGGATCGTCGCTGCACAGCTATTTTCAGGTCTTTCCAGAAATGTTCGATCGGGTTCAAGTCCGGGCTCTGGCTGGGCCACTCAAGGACATTCAGAGACTTGTTCTGAAGCCACTCCTGCGTTGTCTTGGCTGTGTGCTTAGGGTCGTTGTGCTGTTGGCAGGTGAACGTTCGCCCCAATCTGAGGTCCTGAGCACTCTGGAGCAGGTTTTAATCAAGGATCTCTCTGTACTTTGCTCCGTTCCTCTTTCTCTCGATCCTGACTAGTCTCACAGTCCCTGCTGCTGAAAAACATCCCCACAGCATGATGCTGCCACCACCATGCTTCAGCATAGGGATGGCGCCAGGTTTCCTACAGACATGACGCTTGTCATTCAGGCCAAAGAGTTCAATCTTGGTTTCATCAGACCAGAGAATCCTATTTCTCATGGTCTGAGAGTCCTTTAGGTGCCTTTTGGCAAACTCCAAATGGGCTGTCATGTGCCTTTTACTGAGGAGTGGCGCCGTCTGGCAACTACCATAAAGGCCTGATTGGTGGAGTGCTGCAGAGACGGTTGTCCTTCTGGAAGGTTCTCCCATCTCCACAGAGGAACTCTGGAGCTCTGTCATTGGGTTCTTGGTCAACTCCCTGACCAAGGCCCTTCTCCCCCAATTGCTCAGTTTGGCCAGACGGCCAGCTCTAGGAAGAGTATTGGTGGTTCAAAACATCTTCCATTTAAGAATGATGGAGGCCACTGTGATCTTGGGGACCTTCAATGCTGCAGACATTTTTTGATACCTTTCCCCAGATCTGTGCCTCGACACAATCCTGTCAAGAAGCTCTACGAACAATTCCTTCGACCTCATGGCTTGGTTTTTGCTCTGACTTGCACTGTCAACTGTGGGACCTTATATAGACAGGTGAGCACCTTTCCAAATCATGTGCAATCAAATGAATTTACCAGAGGTGGACTCCAATCAAGTTGTAGAAACATCTCAAGGATGATCAATGGAAACAGGTTGCACCTTAGCTCAATTTCGAGTCTCATAGCAAAGGGTCTGAATACTTACTGTACCAGTCAAAAGTTTGAACACACCTGCTCATTCAAGGGTTTTTCTTTATTGTTACTATTTTCTACATTGTAGAATAATAGTGAAGACATCAAAACTATGAAATAACACATATGGAATCATGTAGTAACCAAAAAAGTGTTAAACATATCAAAATATATTTGAGATTTGAGATTCTTCAAATAGCCACCCTTTGCCTTGATGACAGCTTTGCACACTCTTGGCATTCACTCAACCAGCTTCACCTGGAATGCTTTTCCAACAGTCTTGAAGGAGTTCCCACATATGCTGAGCACTTGTTGGCTGTTTTTCCTTCACTCTGCGGTCCGACTCATCCCAAACCATCTCAATTGGGTTGAGGTTGGGTGATTGTGGAAGCCAGGTCATCTGATGCAGCACTCCATCGCTCTCCTTCTTGGTAAAATAGCCCTTACACAGCCTGGAGGTGTGTTGGGTCATTGTCCTGTTGAAAAACAAATGATAGTCCCACTAAGCAGAAACCAGATGGGATGGCGTATCGCTGCAGAATGCTGTGGTAGTTGTGCCTTGAATTCTAAATAAATCACAGACAGTGTCTCCAGCAAAGCACCCCCACACCATAACACCTCCTCCTCCTCCATGCTTTACGGTGGGAACTACACATGCAGAGATCATCCGTTCACCCACACCGCGTCTCACAAAGACACGGCGGTTGGAACCAAATATCTCCAATTTGGGCTCCAGACCAAAGGACACATTTCCACCAGTCTAATGTCCATTGCTCGTGTTTCTTGGCCCAAGCAGGTCTCTTCTTCTTGTGTCCTTTAGTAGTGGATTATTTGCAGAAATTTGACCATGAAGGCCTGATTCACACGGTCCCTTCTGAACAGTTGATGTTAAGATGTGTCTGTGACTTGAACTTGATGTGGCAAATTCATCCTTATACTGATCAAAGAACCAAAGTATTTCAGAGTTTTTGTAGAATTAAGATATACTTTATTCCAATAGACAAAGCCGAGGTAGTTTGCAAATCATCTCCCTTCTACCTCCCAGCTCTCAGTTTATATAGTCATTTTACATACATTTTAGCTTAACCCCTCCCTCCTGGGTTCTCCCACCACTGTCTCCAGTTTCCCCCTCTTGACCGCTCCGCCCACTTCCTTAGTCTATGATAGTGGCAAAATCTGACTTCCCCTCCTTTGTATGCACAAATAACAGCCCTGTCATGTAAAAATAATCATGTTCAGTTTGAACTCTGTTCAACCCTGGCTCACCCTGGTTTGACCTGGAGATTGATTTTTGGACATGGCAGGTCCACAATCAAGCTCTCAAACATACCCAAGCCCAACCCCTCTATCCCCTCCCGTCATGCTGTAATTTATCAAGAAGATGCCCAAGGAGAGACAAAGGGTTTAGCCTGAACTCTGTTCAACCCTAACTCCATTCCCGTAATATGCCTTAGGATAGAGGCAAAGGATAACACTCTG